AATGTTTCATCACCTCATTGAATCTGTGCCATGAAGAATGAAGAAGGAAATTCTGCAGGCAAAAAGGATATAGCCTAAGTAGCTGCAACTTAGTACCTAATGAAGTGGTCATTGTGTATACACTGATTTAAGAGTAAGAGCTTAAGAGGGGGTAGTAATTTATAATTTATTGAAAAATGAGAATAAAATTGTCATTTTAGAAAGAAATTTGCTGACATTTTGATCAGACATGGGTCAATTTGATGACAAGCTAAAGGTTTTCCAGTGCCTTGTGAAAAGGAGAGGAAAACTAAAGGAGAAACTCATCAGTTTTCATTATATTGAGATTGGCAGCTGGGGCTTTTGATGTGACTGGTAATCTTCCCAGTGCTTGACAAGTTGCCTTGTGGCATTAAAGTACAACAAAGCAGCTGGGGCACACAAGGCACTTAGCTCATTGTGTTACGGAGATTTATTTTCTTTGTGCCCTTTTGACAGGAAGGCATTTGAAAATGTCACAAATTGTTCCTGCATTATTAGGATTCTACATACAATCTGACGGTGCTTGCATGTACATTTGGCCGGACTAAGTCAAACGCTGTAGCATCCGAGCTGTTTGTCTGCTTGTTTGGAAAAAAGTACATTGGCTATTTAAAAATAAATGGGGGTAAACTGAGAAAAAAGCTCCAAAGCAACAAATCAAAAAGCAGCTTGTTCATGCAAAAGAATTCATACTAATAGTCTTCAAGTAACTTAAAGAAGTCCAGACGCTTTTCTTTGCAAGCTCCTTTGACTACGATGACCTGGATGACTGAGAACCTTCACAGACATACTAATAGAAGAAAATACACAGTGAGCAGTGAAAGGTGTGGCCGTGGAATACCTCCTGCTGTGAGTCTGATGCCAATGTGCTTTATCAAATCTGGCTGGACAATAACACCCACTGTCAGAGAAACAAAGCCAGAGAGGTTATTGCAGTTTTGGACTGTGATAGAGTTGAAATGCATTAATTTAGCCAGGACAGATGTTGTTTGCAGATGCACCCTGGCCTATAACAGAAGCTTCTCTCTGTAGTGTTGAAAAAAAAAAAAAAAAAAAAAAAAAAAAAGCACTCTAGTGGTACAGCAAGGAAAGTAACCAACTTAGAAGCTCTCGGTTTCAAAAGGCTGCCTGAAACGCGACTGAATATCTCAGAAATGAACTTTCATGTGGCTCACATGAGAACTGTGAGAAGCAGGTGCTGTTTGTAAAGCAAAGTCAAGACTACATCCCTGTGGATTTCCCATGGTCAAACACACATGAAGAACTCCAGTATATACAGCTGAGTATTAATAATGAATCAGCTGCGTCGTTGGCTCTGCATCAGTTGTGAAGAGGCAAACCAAGATGTACCGTACTGCTCGAAGGTGAGAAAAAACCTTATCCAGCACATGAAAGATGTGTGCGCCTGCATGTTGCATGCATAATGTGTTTGTGCGCACAAGTGTGGGAGGAGGAGCATAAATTTACTCCTTTAATAAATAATAAACCAGCATGTGTGGGAGGACTGTGTGGATGGTTCTCATTACATATCGTTTCTCTGGTGGTTCTGGCTCAGATATTCCCATGTTTGACTTTTGATGCCTTGCTCTTTTTTTGGTTGATTATGCATAGATTTTCAGTGGGAGTAATGATATTCATAGGTTCTGACACACAGCTGTCAAAACCCAAATTATAACAACAACAAGCTCTCTCCCCAAGATTAAGGGTGACTGATCATCCAAGTGTCCACCCATACACGCACACGCTGTGTACATAAATACATGAAGCCACACTAGTGCAAACATGTGCTCTGCGAGAAATGAAGGCCTGGCCGACAGACCACATCAGTCACATCACAGGCTTTAATAAATGTTGAGCAGGCCAGCCTAGTGCTGTAGGTGGCATGACATTATTCCAACCTATAACTATCAACCAGGACTATTGTTACATGACAAGACCCAAACTGATGCTCATTAATAATCTATTTTTACCAAGTTGTGAATCAAGGCCAGTAGCATGTCCACATTAACATGAAAGACAACAGCATAGGACATAGAAGCACACATCAAAGTCAACGGATATCATCGAACCTTACAATGTGATCATTTTTAGGGCTGTTAAAAACAATCTATGTATTTTCATGTAAGTACTGAGACAAAGATGCTTCTTTTGATGCTTTGATTGTTATTATTACAAAAGGAATATTAAGTGTATATATCAAAAATGGGGATGGAAAAAGTTTAAAGTGTTCATGGAAAAGACCAAGATTCTTTCAAAAAAATTGTGTTCAGGTAATGGCTTCATACATTGCCATAAAACAGTAATTCATTACAGCAGCATGGCATCATTAACCAGTCTTCAGCAGCTAGATCTGTCAGTACGCTTGTGTCTTTAGGAATAAAACACAACATCAGTATGGAAATGGATATGCGCTGCTTTTCTAACCGGATCAGTGAGCCACTTGAGGCAGAGTGTTCCACTGTCTGGTTTTAGGAAATATTGCAGTCTTCAAAGCCACAATCCTACTAAAGAATTCAACATTTGTTGGTGGAAACCTTGATTTCACATCAAAGCATAAATTCACAGTTTCTTTTCATCATCGGTTTATTAAAATATTTATTTCCATTTTTTTGAATGTGCATGGTACAGCCATAAGTTTATTTTGAGAAATTCACTCCACTGAAGCTTCTTTGAATCAGATAGAAAACAGGGCAACTTTGATGTCACTGGAAAAAACATTTAAAGCAGAATTATTACAGATCTTCAGTGATTTCCCTGTGAAATTATTTAACATGAGTGGGAAACAGTATTTTAACTAATGTATTGTTATGACTTCTGGTTTTAGTAGTTCTTTATTTTCCCAGTGAGGCAACAGACATTACAAAATAAGGCCTGGATTAGTCTGAAAAGTATAACTGAAGCTGGAAACTGAAAGTGGGGGAGTCAAATCTTCTACACTGGAGGATTTGGATGTTCTGTATGCGTGCTCAGCAAAAACAAACAGGAGGAAGGAGAGTGAACTGCTGATCTAGGAGATCTGCTTCATCCCCTCCATGGCAGAGGTTATGGTAAACTATAAAAATCACAACATGGGATCAAGCTACTGTAATCGTGCTAGCCCAAGCCAAGTGCCATCAATATTTTCCACTAACCTAAAAGACTATCATCAGTCCATTCGTGTACATTGCTGTATTTCTCTTAGAAAGGGCACATCACTGTCCTTGGATGATTAATTATCAACTTCAGAAAAACAACAGATAAAGTCTGGGTTGTCAAAATACTGTTAGATGCACTTGCACTTTAGTGTTACTCAAACACAGAAAGAGTTTTAGTATGCACACTGAAGAGCGGGGTCACCATTAAATTAATCAGTCCCAATACCCAAAGTAGAGCGTGCTAATTGGATCTTTGACGAGCCTCTCCAATGAATAATAGCAGCATCCTTTATTCTGCAGGCCTAGTTAATTCACCAGCATGTCATTAGTTTTTAGGTTGGAATTTTTCACCAGAGCCTTGCAGGGGAGCTCTGGGGAAAGGTGACACAGTCGCACATATTTGCAGCATCTCTACCTGTCAGTCTACATATTCAGCACCACAGCTACACACCTGTTGTTGCTTCTGACTGACCAGGGCTGCAACATTTATACCACATAGCTTAAGTATGTAATGCACTTTGCAATCATCACATGCATGTTGCATCTAATTTAAAATAATGGAGTTAAAACTTTCTGCTACAAAGGTTCAGGCTCTTATCAGAAAGGCTTTCTGTTAGTTTAGTTATGTTACTTTTGTTGCTGTTGTTCAAGAACTGTATTTTTCTCCCCATAAGGTCACAAACAAAATTGGACAAACAGCCGGTTGAATCTTATAAAAACTTGCCCACATTTAGACGAACTCCGAGTGTTATGCAGTGTTATTAGCAGAAGGCAGGAAGGAAATTATGATGGGCGAAATCCGTGAGCTGCATCTGAATTTCTCAGAGCTGCTCCTGAAGCCACTGATATCACTCTGGCCCCAGAAATTTTGTGGTGATGTGCCAGTATCAGCGGTTTGTCAGTGGCACCAGTATTCGTTGGTGGAAATTCTCAGAACAGACTCTAGATCGAAGTCTCAAACATAAGGCTGTGGGTCCAGAATCGGCCCAGCGAAGACTCCAGTCTGGCCCACAATCTGGAAATTGTGAAGGACTGCATAGATTTTTAACTTCTAAGAGTATTTTGCAATTTATACTACACCAGAGTAAAGCAATAGATAAACAATTAAATGAAGCAAAAGTTCATGTTTTTAATCTACTCAAGAAATATCTTGTCTGTAATTTTACACAGTTATCATGTAGAAAAACCGAGATCTACTGTAGAAGTTGCACTTGTTTTCCTCATATTAAGACTTTTCAGCAAATATAGAAAAGGCAGTTTCACCGGTTTGGCCCAATTTAGAAAGAGTTTCACATCCCTGCTCTAGATTTTGTTCCCAAACACAGAGATGGTAAAGGGGTATTAAAAGACCCAGCTCTGGGAAAGGTGCTATTGTTATGTTGAAATCCAGATTTCTCTGAATTGAAGAGTGAATATATTTTATACATGCATTGCATCATTAAAGAACTCTTCAGTTCTTATAAAAAACAGTGCATATAAACCAAAAGAATAAAGAGCTATAGTTCCTAGTTTTAGATTCAATGATTGAAAAAGCAAAAAAACATTTTCAATTGTTCTCCACAATGAAAGACTGGAACAATCTCCATGAAAAATGATAGCACTGAATGCTGTCTTTGTTAGGAAATGCAGTCTCATTGTGGGAAAAGATTAAAATACTTTCCCCGCTTTCATTCATTTTTGATTTATGAAATAAAACAGAAGAAAATGAGTAAAACAAACCGATTAAAAGGTAAAATATGAGAAAATGACGTACAACGCTGCTTGAAGAGACAAAGAAACAGCAGGGAGGCACAAAGAGAAAGAAGCATGACACACACATACACGAAGGGAGAGTGAGAGAGCGACAGAGACTGAGGACAGAGAGGGAGGACTTGCACCTCCTCCGTTTTATGAGGCAGTCCGGCTCCCCTGCCTCCTCCACGCTCTCCCTCTCACTCGCGCTGTCTCTCTCGCAGCCACATCTCTTCATTACCCCGTCTGCTTCGCCCCCTCCCCTTTTCCTCCTTCCTCGTTATCCCCCTTCATTTCTCCTCCTCATATTCTTTTCCACTCTTCATATTCATATTCGACATGCGCTTCACGTGAAGTCCACCTACCAACTTGCGGAGTCGGTGGATGTCGAGTAAACAAAAGCAGGCAAATGCTCTGACGGGGAATTAAAGAAAAGAAAACACGCACGTTCGCATCTTTCGTTGAGTGCCTTGGCTTGAACGGAGCAACAGTATGGATCTCTCATTCATGGCTGCACAGGTGAGACGCTTTGCCTCCAAACTGCTCAAATATATTTAGCTTGTCTGAACTTTTAAAAAATTATTATGAATGTATTTTGCCCGTGGATTTCAAGGGCGTGGCCGAGGATTAAGTTCATATCACGCTTTGACACTTTCCAATAATTGCAGTGTTTAAACATGGTTCAGTATGGATACCATCGCGTCTTTATGCGCGCATATCATTGTGTGAGGGCCAGTGGGACGTTGTTGCACTTCAGCATCACTCTAACAGTCTTCAAGTAAATACTTTAGTTTCCTTCCTTATCCTTTCAAAGTTTATAGCTCGCAGGTTTTCTTTGCTTCATGTGTCACCATTAGGCGTTGAGTTGCTGCACTTCTGTATGCTTTTGTGTCAGAGAATTCAAAATAATGAGAGCTCCAAATGTATATTTTAAGCTTTAACCACATCGTGGATGTGATACTCTTCTTCATTTCGTTTTATTTTTGGCATTTGAATTGCACCAGCTTCACTGGCCCAAATCATTTTTGTAATTCATGCAAATATGGTATTGCACTGCTTTGCATAATACGTGCTGAAGTGATTTTGGCTCCATGGAGGACATGTGCTATTGTGCATCTGTTTAGAACATGGGGTTTGTTTTGATATTCTCCCTGCCCTCCTCCTCCTTCTCGTCTCTTTCTCTCAGTGTCTGGCAGCTTGTGGTTTATCTGGTGCCATCTACTTTGCCATTCGTTGCACAACTACTATTAAAGGGTTCATTGCATTATTTTTTTTTCTGCCAAGGGCTGTTCTTTGAGGCAAGATGAAGCCAAATGCTCCCAAATCTTTTTAAATCAAGGACCTCTAAATGGAAATGCATTGGAGCATGGACACATCTGAGAATACGTTGTTGTTCACTATTACCTGATTTAAAGAGAAGCAAAGTAATACATTATGGAGAGCATGGAAACCTCACAAGTCAAAAGTGAAGATGCTGGAATTAGTTTTGTATTTTTTCTTCTTCATGCAAGGAAGAAAAACAGTGTGTCAAAAACGAAATTCTTGGCAAAGGTCCCCAAAATGGGTAATGGATACAAGTAATGTTTAGAGATGGATCAACTGATTAATTTATGAGATGAATACCAGACAACTACAGCAACCTTTTCAGTACATAAGGGGAAAAAGAGTGAAAAAATGTAAATATTTGAGAAATATGCAATCACAGGACACTTAATTACAAATTACTAGTACCTGGTTGGACTTTCGGTTGTTTTCAGAATTGCTTCAATCCTTCTTGGTATAGATTCAACAAGGTGCTTGAAACATTCCTGAGAGATTTTTGTCAATATTGACATGATGGCATCACACAGTTGCTGCAGATTTGCTGGCTGAACACCCATAATGTGGATCTGCCGTTCTACCCCATCCCACAGGTGCTTTATTGGATTGAGACCTGATCACTGTGGAAGCCATTTGAGAAAAGTAATCTCCATGTCATGTGCAAGAAACCAGTTCGAGATGATCTGAGCTTTGTGTTTATCCTTCTGGAAACAGCCACGAGAGGATGGGCACACCGTAGTTATAAATGGATGGACATGGTCAGCAAAAATACTCAGCTAGGCTGTGGCATTAAAAAATGTTTTGTTGGAAAGAAGGAGCCAAAATTAACCAGGAAAAGATCCCCCACGCCATCACAGCACCACCACCAGGCTGAACTCTGCATACAAAGCAGGATTCATGTTGTTTAAGCCAAATTCTGAGACGACAACATGAATCTTCTGTTGTTTAATTTTGATGAGCCCACGTAAACTACAGACTCTGCTGCTGTTCCATCTTCTTTAAGATTCAGTATTTTATGCATTCAGAGATGCTCTTTCTATACTTTGGCTGTAATGGGTGGTTATTTGAGTTATTGTTGCCTTCCTATCAGCTTGAAGCAGTCTGGCCATTCTCCTCTGTCCTTTGGAATCAACAAAGCACAGAGAACTGCTGCTCACAGGATACTTTCTCTTTTTCAGACCATTTTCTGTAACTCCTAGAGATGACTGAGTGTGAAGTTCCCAGTAGATCAGCATTTGTGAAATACTCATACTACCGATGTCTGGCACCAACAACCACACAAAGTAAAATCACCCTCCTTCTCCATCCTGTTCTTGGTTTGAACTTCCACACGTCATTTAACCATGGCTACATACACTGAGCTGCTGCCATATGATTGGCTTATTAGATACTTGCTTTAATGAGCAGTTGATCGGGTTTATCTAAGTAAGTGGGAAGTGAGTGTATATTGTCCTTTGTCCTATTGTCTGTTAGTAATATATTATGGACAAAGGAAACATGTTTTTAAAGAGTAAAGGACAAAAGTGTGAAATACTTACACTGTAGGTAAAGCGATGAATCCAACAAAAGACTAACAGAATGTTAATATGTTTTATTATATGTATTTATAGCGACCTTAACTCAGTTAGCAAAATAGCTTTTACAGCGCACCAGTAGATAATGCTCCAAGGATGTTTGGTAAGTAGATAAAACTTGTTTTTCAACATTTGCTTGATCGCACATCTGCCATATGTGTCTGTAACACCTTCAGTTCAATTAACATGTGAGCACCAGCTTCAAATGGCCGATAAAGGAACTGCAGTTTTCGGCACTTGTGTGTTTATTTCATTTTGAATGAATGAATTGAATGAAATGAAATGGTGAAAAATCTTGGTAGTTAAGACAGCTGTGTATTACTAGCCCCACACCAGACGATTCCCCTTTAACTAATTTCAGTCCTAAAAAAACAGTAAACAAATGTTTTAAAGGGAATTTTGTATTTGGTACTAGAAAGGTGGCTTACCACTCCCTCTTGACTCTTTACCTCACACTTGCCATTTTTGAAGTTCACCTTTTTCAACATTCACGTACCTTCCCCCCAAAGAATGCAGCTCTCTCAGATCGGTAATGGCTAATTTAACTGAAGTGAAATTCATTCCTGTGCCCTGAGTCACTCTGTAATGGTGACTGTGAATGAAGTCAGGCAAATGTCCCTGGAGTTTTGAAGACTGACTTCACAATGGATGATTTTTTGCCCATCCATCTCAGCGTAGCTCTGCTGCCTGCAAATCACTGGACCTTCACCACCACTTTGTCTCTAAAAGATGACGGATGCTGCTAAAGCTGTTCTGGCCTAAAGATTGGAAATTTTTTTAAAGAACTTTAACTCAGATGAGCAGGTTTCTGATTTTCTCTATGTAGAAAATTGGTGGGTTTGAAGATGCACTGGTCATTATTGTTGTAGTATTTGAAAAGAGGAAATTGACCATAGAAACTGAGTAGCTTGCTTGTCATTCAGAAGAACCAATAACATGCACGGTGTGTACCATTACACAGAAACTGGTAGCATTACTGGCTATTGTTTTTCAGCATTTCTCACTCCTGGTTTTGTTAAAATGGTTTTGTATGTTATCTGAGAAACATTTCTAAATAGCTCTTGACAGAACAATGTGTGCACTCTTGCGTTTGGTGAATGATTTGCATTTGGCAGCAATGCTTCGCTGGTTTGAAATGGAAAAAGGGTATACAGCATTAGCTTTAAAGTGGTGGCATCCTCGAGCATTGTGAAACATGGATTAATAGGCGACAATCACAGCAAAGCTTTTGAATGCTAAGCTGAGTGCGATTCGGCAGTTTGCGTTTTATCTATTCAATTAGACTGAACTGAGAAATGTTTCACACAGTTTCCCTTAGATCCCTGTGGATATCAAGATTAATTTTTGACATCCACATACTTATGAATTTCTTTTTTTCCCCAATCCTGCTACTTTGATGTTAATTATATTGTGTATATCTTAGCATCTTGTTGAGGCTGTCACTGTTAGGTTATTTAACTGGCAGATTTTAAGGCATAAGAAAATGAATCATTGTGTTAGTAACTAATGTTGAGGTCAGCCCAAGACAAGCTTCGCAAACATCCTGGGCATTCTGCCAGTCTCAAACGTGCTTCAGCTGACAGATCTGCCACACAGGGCAGCAAAACCCTTAAGGGTCTGCCTATCCATTGGAGGGTGTCCCAGTGGCCTTTGCCTTTTACTCATTTTTTAGCTCTTCATACATGCACTATAACCACCTCTGACATATAGGGTTATATTTAATCCCCTGTCATGTCTATTTCTTTCGCTTTAAAATATTTTCATTACCTGGCCAAATTCATAGCTAAGGATGAGTACTGGTTTGTTTCCACATTCTCTCTTGGGCTGATTTGTCTCTTCATGGCAAGCCATCATGATTTCTCGTGAAATTATAGCCCCAAGTCATTCTACCTGACAGGCTTTGTACATCTCTTCTTGTGTTAAAGAGTACAGATGAGAGTGACAGGATGATGAAGTAAAGCGTTGTTGACAGCAGCAACAAGCAGACCTATGTATATAGACACAAAACCACTTTAGTTTATTTGCCAGATGACATAAAAAGCAAGTGTTTAAAAATGAGCACAAGCTGATAATTTAGAATTAGAAAGACATGCTGGAGATATAGCAAGATATGTTTGCGCACCACCACCCCTGGATATTGAGTCAGATATAGAAATTCAAGTTGACTTATTCGCAAACTAGATTATTTTTCACTAAACACAATTTTGGAAATAGACACAAAGTGTAAATCTAGGCCATTTTTTCCTCTTTTCCTTTTTTTTAAACCCAACTTCATAAAAAAGTCGAGTTACATAATGATATTATCTCACTGTGAATTCTCCACGAACTGACTGCCCCTATTAAAAATCTCCTGCTTTCTATAGTCGTGGCTAATTTGAAGAGTGTAATAATGTCACGGCAGCCTTTTCATCTTGAAGAATTTATTTCCCCTCTGGTCTTCTTTTGTCTGCTTTTTCAGCAATTGCTTTTACATGAAAGCTGTAGTCCTGAGATAGTGAAAACTTGCAACAGACCCAGATTTTCATGTGTCTTCATATTTAGAGGCACACAGGTTGAATGCAAACAGTCAGCTTAAACAAATTACACGGAGCTGTTTGCATGGGGGGGGAAAACAATCAGTGCTTT